CCCCAGAAGAAAGCGGTTGAGTAGGGAGGGAAGAAATAAAGGAAAAGCAAATGATAGTAAATCCAAAGCCAAAAAATGTTGCTTTTACCAAACCCATGCTGAAGGCCAAAGGAGACAAAAGAAACCTCTGAGTGGATTTAGTTATTTAAGAGACCACTAAAAGCACCCAAGAATGGATGGAGGAAGGTAAAAAGAACCACAATCCCACAAACAAGCTGAGTGAAAAGGTACCAAACACTAAAGAGGCCAAGGTGTGACAACTAGACAGACTATTTTGATCTGGAATTTAAATCTGTTTAAAGTTAAATAGTGTTACTTGCGCTTATACACAAAAGATAGAATTAATTATACAATTAATCTCTCTAACATGAACGGTAGTGGATAAGGTAAGAAACGGGATACACGGTCAAGGCTGGAGTAAAGGTGGCTCTGCTGAAGCCATCAGCCCAATTCATCCTTTGGGTGGGTGGATGAAAAAGAAAGTAGCACCATGTATCATGAGACATCCACTCTTCTGTCTAACATAGCTTTACAGTCATAGAGTAAAAGATATTCCTGTCACAATTTCATAATTCAGATTACCTAAGCTGAAAGAACAATAACTGCACAGTTTTTACTGGCCTTGACAATTGTACATCCAAGCAAAGTTTTATAGCTGTCTTCTCTCCTCACCTTCTTTATTTCCCTGTGTGTTCGCTGATAACAGTCACAAACCTCACTGCCAGGCCCTGGCTAGCCTCTGGCTTGGTCTGCCTTTTGCCTTGGGGATCAATAGGTCTTTCTCCACTAGTTTCTACAGTTTCTCACTTCAGATGCACTCTTGCTTCCTTTTATTTTTTTTCTCTCTTTTGACCTTAGCAGTGTGCGGTGCCATGATATTAATGTTATTATTCTTTAAATATACATATGTATGTATACGTATGCATATATACATATACACGTGTGTGTATGTTTTAGTCCATTCAAACTGCTATAACAAAAGTACCATAAACTAGGTGACTTTAACAACAAACATTTATTTTTCACAGTTCTAAAAGCTGGGAAATCCAAGATCAGATGCCAACAGATTCAGTGTCTGGTGAGGGCTCACCTTCTGAGTCAGATGGCTGTTTTCTCATTATGTCCTCATATGCCAGAGAGCAAAGAGAGCAGCGCTCTGAGGCCTCTTTCACGAGGGCACTATCCCATTTGTGATAGTTCTACCTTCAAGACCTCATCACCTCCCAAAGCCCTATCTCTTCATACCATCACACTGAGGGCTAGGATTTCAACGTGATTTTTAGGGCAACACATTCCATTCATAACAGTAATGGATTAATAAATTTTTTTCAAAAGAATTTAGTATTGTCAAATATGGAGGAATAGGCCTGTACAAGGCCTTATACAAGCCTGATAGAATATTACATTGGTATAGCATTAGACAAAGGTACATTGTACAAAGGGGTGGTATTTAATATAATTAACTGGACAATGTGGGCACTGACCGTTCGGCAAGGGGGGAAACTGGGACAACTGTAACAGAATAACAATAAAAAATTTTAAAAACATTATGCATTTATCTACATAAATGGTATCATCTGGACAAATATTTCTAAAACTTGTTTTTTGCAACTGGATGTGTAATCTAATTGAGTTAACATTTGCAAAATAACACCTATGATTTATTTATTCATTCTCCTATTGATCAATATTTAGAGGTCAAATTTTACTATTTCAAAAAGATCTGCAGCAAACAGCCTTCTGCATATCTCCTTGTGCACGTAAGTGAAGCCTAAGGTAGACACCTAAAAGTATATTCTCAAAGGTCTAGCTTCCTTTTAGAATGGTCCAGTTTAGCTCTCCTGTTCATCGAAACCACATTATGATGCTGTCAGTTCTGTCTGCCTTAAAGATGCAAACTCCATCAGGATAGGCCTCATGTCTATTTTGTTCCATTGCATGTCTCCAATGCTTAGAACTGTACCAATACATAGTAGCCCCCATTAGAAGTATTTGCCAAATAAATAAATGAGTGATGGATGACTGAATGAGATTAGAATTTAAAGACATTGTCTCAATTCCTTACAATTCAAAAGCTATGCTTTCACCCTATACAGGCAAAGTCCCAAGGCATCCTGAAGGCCCTATGCAACTCGATGAATTAAATTTTCGACACTGATTCGGCCTGGTCTTGCAGAGAGGTTTCCTATACAATTGCAAAAACTGGTTTGGTTGTGGAGACAACCACAATCCGCTGGACCACAGGTCCTAGGCCACAATACCGTGAAATATGCTGAAATAGCCCCACTCTTCAGCCTCCCTAGAGAAACTCATTCTGGTAAGCCTTTGCTGAGCAATGTGTCTGCATTTCTGCACACTAGCCAGCTATTCACAGTAAGAGAACCATTTCTTCCTCTCTGTTTCAATCCATATTGATTCTGTAGTTGAGGAGGAATCTAAGTGCTTTCCAAATACCAAATGTTCCATATGGTAGCGTTATTAGCATTCTCACCACCATGACGTTTGGCCTTTCTACCTACACTCATGAGTTGCCTCACTGGAGTTTGGCAGAACATTATGAACTCCTCTCCTGACCTATATCTGCTGACACATTTGTTGTCATCTCTCCCGTTATGAAATTTTTAATTTTGTTCAAATAACATATGTATGTGGGTAAATACAAGTTTATTTTCTTATTCATCCTCATAATCATTTAGAGGAGAATATTTATGACCCATTAAACAGGAATTCTTAAGCTCAACTATGTTAATAAGGAATTCAGATGTTCCTCTTTTATTGAAAAATATGAAGCTGTTCAAATTAAATCAAAAACGAATGCAGTGTCTACATACACAAGAGTTGCAGGGTATCTAGTGAAAAGCTTTAGCTGAAGCCAGACAAGTTGTCTTGTGTTTGTCTCCTTAACCAAATAATTCTTTGACCCTTTTTCCTTCTACTTTTTGACCTTCTGATGCAGCTATTGGTAAAAGACTTAACAACCCCCACCACCATTTTCCCCTTTGTGTTTATGTAGGTAAAGCATACGTTTCCTAAGAGCTTGGGGTCTCTTCTTCTATCTTCTCTTTGACTTATTTAATGACAGGAAGCTCACTTAATAATGGGGAAAGGCCATGAGGTTAGTAGGGCAGCTCACATATGGAGTGAGATGCGTAGACTCTCCCTGTGCAGCTAAAGAGGCCAGGAGGCTTGCCTGACTCCAGGTTCCGGCTGGACCTGAGGAGCGAGGCAGCCGGGATTGGGATCAGGTTCTGCTCTCACACGACGGCTGCTCCAAGGGTGCCAGCAGCCAGGTGACAACTGTGATAAATGGGTCTCTGACTTGCAGACTTTAGTCAGGCAGTTTCTCCAGGAATAGAACTTCACTACTAATCCAAATTAAAGGAATTTGGGTATATATTAAACTTTTTTTTGATACCAGAAGGATGAAAACAAGGAAGAAGAAGGGAAAAATATTTTTAATTGGGGTTATACTATAGTCAGAGTCACACTTGGCTTTTTTTTTTTTGTACTTCTATCAGGATCACTTTCTCTTATCATTTTCTATGAAATGGGTACTATTATTATATAAATTTTATAGACTTAGACATTAAGAGGGAAACTTAACTTGCCTGACATCACACCTCAACAAAATAGCAGAGCTGGAATCTGAACCCAGGCAGTCAGGAGACCTGCCATCTTACTACTGTGATCTACAGCCTCTGATTAATATGGTGATACCATGATTATGTCAAATCATGCTCCCAATGCCATTTGTGTGTGTGTGTGTATGTATATATTATGTATTTATAGATATATGCACTCAGATATATGTGTATATACATGTATATACAAATTCCCATGCATATATTTTAACTAATAAGCAATGCAACTTCAGATCCATGCTTAATTAAATACAATGTTATTTATTAAATATCTTTTAATTCTTATTAAAGAAAGAAAAACTATGTTTTCCAGTGACTAAAACATTACTATCCAGTGATCTCATGGTTGTCTAAAAATACCTGGCCATAGAAAGGGAAAAACTTAAAATTCCCTAGAACCCTTTCATACCTTCACCATTTAGTATTATTTCTCAAATGTCAAAAACTGGTAAGTTTCATGCATGCTACTATCTACAGCAGGAAGGTTCTTAAAAACAGTATTATATTCAAATAAATGCCCTTCCTCCCCCTCCAATAAAAAACAACAAACATGGAGATGCCATTACACAAAATCAATTGACAAAGCCATTGTTGTTTTCAAAATTCTCTGCACTGGTAAAACTGTATGAAGTAGGTACTCTCATACACTGCCTCTGGAAATATAAACTGGTATGACTTTATTGGAAAGTAATTTGGCAACAAGTAAGCAAAAGTTTTAAAACTTGAAAACTCTTAAAACTCAGCAATTTACTGCTAAGGAAGTACCTTAAGGAAGCCATGAATAATGGCAAATAATATAAAGCTACAGGAACACTGTTGGTGGCATAGAAACAAAAAAAAAGAATCAAATTGAATGTTCAGCTAGAGGGGATCAATTAAATGTATTTCAGGATATGTAGTCAATGTTATAGTATATATTAAAAATAATGTTGCAGATAAATATCTGTCGTTATGAAAAGATGTTCATTATTACATTAAGTGGAACAAAAATGTTAGACGAAAGGTCATAGTATATATTATATTGTTCCCTACTACCACCTGATGGTAGTCTCTCTGGCAGAATTTATTAACACCATCATCAGAATCATCTGTTTCTTATCAAGGGCTTGTCATCCACCTTAATCAGTGATTTCAATATAAGCAGAATTTATTTTATTTCCCATAAAAAAGGATTCCATTTTTATAAAAGACAGAGAAAGAATAAGTAGAGAATATGAGAATCTACAAATATATATTTATGTTGTGTGTTAGTGTGTGGGTGAATGTAAGAGGATAAATATGTATGCATCACCACCACTATCTTGGGGACTTTACAATGAAATGATAGCTATTTGGGGCTAAGATTTTGGAGAGATTTACCTGTACCATGTGCTTTCATCACAAGGGAGAAATGTAAGCAGTCAGCTCCTTCCCAGCAGATCTTTTCACACAGATTTTGCTTGAGTAGAAAGGGCAGCAGTAGAAAACTCAGTGTAAAATGCCTAGACCTGTAAATATAAAAACATTATTCCCACTGAGTGAGGCAGCTTGCTGTGGCTTTCATTCACATCACTGAAGTCATAGGAAAAAAAGCACAAAAAAGCACACTGCCACAACCTCTCTGTCTCTCTCACTCTACACACACACACACACACACACACACACACACACACACACACACCCCCCCCCCCCCAATCTCTCTGTCTCTCTCTCTCACTCTTACACACACACACACACACACACGCACGCACGCACGCACGCGCGCCCAACCCCTCCAGGGGTAAGAGGATTTCTGACCTTAGAGATGTCACCATCAAAATGAGCCCGCTCCTTCCCTGCCTTCCTCCCCAATGATTCCAAAACTTTAAAGAAATAAAAATAGTTCTTCTCCAGAAAATTTCAGGAACACTACTGAATCTGATGCTCTCTAAGATTCCTTCTAGCCACAAAGTTAAGCCAATTCAGTACATGTATTCATTGTAACAGCCTGACTTTCACTTTCAAAACGGTACATGTCTCTCTGTTGATGACTCAGGTAAAGCATATCATTGATATTCAAGATCGTCACTAACATTTACTGAATGTTTATTTTGTTCTTGGCACTGTGCTAATACTTTACACACATTACCCCGTTCCAGCACACTATTATTGGAAAAAAAGAAAGAAAAAAAAAAAAGAGTCAGAAAGCTAGTAGATGTTGAAGCCAGTGTTTAAGCTCATATTGTTCACAGAGACCTTGTTCATAAATCCAATACTATATCATCTCTCCAAAATTAACCTTGCTATTAACATTTCCTTATTTATTATAAAAAAGTTAAATATGAAATCAACATCATCTTATTTTCCCCCAGAGCTGATACAGCACCTAAGTTTTAGCATTGCTCCTTTTGGATTTGACTGGCCTTTCACTTTAATTCCCAAGCCAAACTGAAATCAATGTGTTCATATTCCAATTAAGAGTAGATGTATAGTTATTTCAGTAAATTAAAAATGTTGACTAATCCCACATTTAGGTGCCAACACACCAAAGAAAAAACCTAAAATCCAAATCCTATCTAAATGGCTAAATTTTATTAGGAAGAAGGCAGATAATAAGATCAAGAGCCATATGTGAATCCCTATTTTAAGATACAAAAATAAAGAGAGAAATTTCTATACATTATCATGGTATAAGAAATAACTTATTTACCTATTTACAAATTCTACATATATAAGTCTTAGAATCACTGCAACACAAAACAGATATGAGCATATCAAGAAACCAACAGTTATTTATGGATCCCCTATTGATTCCCTTTTGTACACCTGTACATGTAAGTATTTCTGTACACTATTTTGAGTTTGCCTCTGCGCCTTTGTGCGTGCCACGCCTTGTGACTAGCAGTTTTCCACTGAGTTTAGATTCTTAAAATGGCACAGCGCCCCCAGGCCTAGTACAGTCCATGTTCTTTTTCAGGCTGCACTCCAACTTTTCCACCTTACTTTTAAGTCCTTAAAAGCACCTTGTTCTCCTAGGCCTTACTGTTAAGACTTCTCCCCAAATTATCCAGCTTCTTCACCAAACGACCTTGGATTATTTCTCCTTCAGCTCTCAGCTCAGTCCTGTTCTCCTCAGGGGAGCCTTTCCTGACCTCCCTGGCCAGGTCACTACCTAATACTACATGCTACTACATGCTTTTCTAGAATCATTTCCCTGTGTTATACTGATCACCTTTGTGATTTTTACATTTTTTGCTACATTCGCTGATTAATGCATGTCTCCCCATTATTTACTAAGCTCTTGGAAGGCAGGACATGTGTGCTCTTATCCACCCTTTGATCCTCAATATTCAACACAATGCTTGGCACCTTATAGGCACTCAGTAAGAATCTTCTAAATGAATAAATGAGGGAGGGAGGGAGGGAGGTTGAGAGGGAGGGAGGGAGGGAGGGAAGAACACCCCTCATCATAATTTAATTAGTGTTTGTTGGATTAATCTGCTGATGGATTTCCAACACAGAGTATAAGGTCTGCATTCCTCTGAACAGCACGCAAGGTTCCTTGTGACCGGACCCCAGCCAGCCGTGTCACGCCTCCAGCTGCACTTGACACTCTGCTCCTCTGAACCACTGTAGCTCCCTGACCACCCTGCCTTGCTCCCACTCGTCTCCACACCCTGTTCTATTCTGTTCCCTTTGCACATCATCTCTTCAAACTCAAACTCATTCTTCCAGTCTCAGGGTGAGGACTGCTTTTCTGCAAAGACCTCTCAGAGGATACCTATGAGAAGCTGAGATCCTCTTTTCCCACTTTTCTCCAACACTCTGAACTTATCCTTATAAAAGCAATTGTCATATTTTCCTGTACTTGTGTCTTAGCAAGTCCATCTCTCCCAACGCACGGTAAGGCCCTTCAAGGCAAAGGAGGGGTATGGCCTCATCACACTATCCTCGGAGTTTAGCACAGCAGCCTAGAACCTAAATAGTCAATAAATAAATATGTGTGAATGAACAAAAGAATATATATATCATACATACACATTTCATATGTATACAGTTCCATGGTTGACTATTTAAAATATATTATAAATTACTATATATTCATTATTATTAAATGTTATGAGGCATAACATTATGAAGTCATCTGTGAAATGGGAATAACACCTACCTCACAGAGTGGTTGCGAAAATTAAATAATACATAACTAAAATGTTGAGCACAGAGCTCAACATACTGGAAGCACCAATAAATATTAATTGTATAATCATTATCATTGTCAACAGTATTGTTAGAACAGCCACGCTGAATTTTTAATTCATGCTTCAAATTTAACAGTTTTATTTGACAACATTTTTCCCTATTAAAATATTACTTAGCATTAAGATCTCTGTAAAGCCATAAAAATGGCTAAAGAGGCACTCAGCAAACCAAAGATAAAGGAGAGTCTTATTCACTACAGCTGAAGGACAAATTGTTGTTTCGGTAATCTTCAATATATGTGTAGAGGGACAAATTATTAACAGAGAAGATGTATTTCTGTTAAAAAAATTATAAAATCTAACTTATAGAAACACCAAATATTATCATTCAAATGTCATAAACATTTGCTTAATATAAACTATTTCTTTTGTAAGGAAAAAAACAAGAATATAAACTATTTCTTTTGTAAGAAAAAAAACAAGATAGAGATACCTATTCATGTCATTTAATTACTGGACAGTAATATAATGTTATAAATAATATGTATTTGTCTAATTAATATGCTATGAAGTGTTTGAATTAATAGCAAACACATTTCACACATAGTCTATTAGGTGCTATTCTAATTTAGATTTGTTGGAATTTAATGAAATGGACTTATGCAAAGAGGAAAAAAGGGGCAAGACAATTCTGCAGCAGTATTTTTTTGGAAAAAATAATGTAAGAATGAATTGTTTACAAATGCTACCAGTGCATAGTTGAGTAGAACCTAACCAACAATACAAAGACGCAAGGAAAATATAACCAGCAACACTGAAAGAAAAAGAAATCAACAATGAACTGGTAGTAATTTCTTCTACAAAATGAATTTATAATTTGGTCCTATATTGCCCTTTTTTATATATTGGCCAAATTTAAATAATGACTATAAAAGCATTTCATATACTGTGTGCTCCTGAAATACATGGCAGTATCATGACTGCATTTTGATATTTCTATTTTCGATTTATCTTTACCTCTCTGATAAGTGATAAAACCGAAAGCAAGTCAGATTTCTAATTGAAACTTAAGTATTTTCTCAGAAGTATTAGAGTGATAGAGAGGAAATATTATAAAAATGCTAAATTCTTAACTTCTAATTGCTTTACCATTAGAACATTACTTTTAAACTGAATTGTAATTCTATTCATTGGCCTCCACCATTGACCAGCTTACTGCAAATATATTGTTCTCTGCAACATAATTAAGATGGAAAGGTAGGACATAACCCAAAAAAGTCTTAATTTATTTAGATAATTTTACCTGAATTTACTAATAATCTCATTATCATGATATTTGTGTTTGTGTCATAAAATCTGGTGAAATCTTACAAATATAAGGCAAAATTACTCTTTATTTATGTTGATCCCTCAATTTGGAATGTCCTTCTTACTCATTCAAATGTTACTCTTCCTCTAAGATTCAGCTCAGCAGTCATTTCCTCTGTGGCCGCTCCCATATATATTCTATTTGCCTTGCTGTGTAATGATCTGTTTCCCTCAGGAGACTATAAGCTCCTTAGGGTCACTAACCAGGTCTCTGCATTTTCAATAACAACCTACACAGTTCTTTGCACAGAAAATATTCTCAGTAAGTACTGTTTCAATGTGTCAATGAATACATACCCTTTGATGCTCTTAAGACTAAGTGAAAATGCCACTCTTAAAACTAAGGTGAAAACGCCACTAATTATGATCTAAAGTTAAAGGTTAAAGTAAAAAAAAATTTCCATTTTTAGTGAAACGAAACTCGTAGCATTTTCACTTCCAGATGCATCAGCATTACATAAAAGATGTTGAAACTATTTCAGAAAATAGATATGCTGTACATTTTCCTGTCTGAGAATTAGTCTGAAAAATACCAGCTACACAGGGGCCTCTGGGTGTTCTCATGACAAACATTGAGTTAGGTATCGATTTCACACACTCATTTAATGGAAATCTAGACCAAGACTCGACCTCCGCAACACCAGCACGTCACACATTACTCTATTCAGCTGCTTAAGAATAAGCTGATGATTCCCGGGAGAGGTGCGCCCTCCCCTCCCAGAACTGGCCGGCACTTCAGCGACGATGAATCTTAGCGGCAGAGAACTTCAGCACTCAAAGAAACACATACCAGTCCTGGATTACGTTTTCCACTTTTATTGTAATTCTCGTTCCCACATGGACCAACTTCTCACATATCCGCTTTTCATTTTTCAAAACCAAACCTTTGAGCCTGTGACAACTTGCCTGGCTGAGTAACATACTACATCATCATACACATGCCAAATCCTACCTCACTCAAA